GAAAGCTCGTCACATATGCCATATGTTACAAAAATACGGCGTAGGCTGGTGATGAGACCCTTGGAGCCCTCCGATGTTTTCTCTACAATTGGCCAGTTAGGCGTGTGCATTCAGTGGCTGAAAGTCAACTGTTCTCCGTGGCTTGCTGTTTTTCTTAGCGCATACTACCATTCGGTGGCACCATGTGACCGGTTTGCCAATCGGGACTGGTTCGATGACACCCAATCTCACATCTTGGTCAAGATTTGCTTTCACCTGATCTTGCCAGTGGATGGGGACGGGGATGGGCGTGTGGTGGGCGCCTGGTTTGGCCTTTGGGTCAACCATAAGTTTCATTGCAGGTCATTTCATCATTGGCAGGGGTTGGTGTTGCTGTAAACGGGCACGGTTTTCGTTTGTTGCTGGGACGGGTAGACTGGTTGGTGGTTTGGGTGGCAGCTGGCGTTTGGGGCAGCCGCATGTATTGGTCGAGTCATGTTTATCTCCTTTGACGTAGTTCGGGACCGGGCCGTCACCGATGGTGTCAGCTGCCATATCGTGCAGGTGGTGTGTCTCGCCAACTGTTGGGAATGTCGGTGTGATCAGTCCGAGAGCGATACAGGCTTCCCTGCTAAGGAACAGCTTTTCTGAGCTGTCGGTAACATAGGTGACTTGACGGGTCTCGAATTCGTTATAGGTTTTGTCCTTTCCAGAATACCTCAAAATGGCTGCACCAAGGATGTTTATACCCTTGTTGTTAGCAGCATCCATTTTCATTGTGAAGGGTATGAGGTCGTCGCGTTTCAGGCCAAGGCGATGTAGGATTTTATGCCTGCGAGGCAACTTTGGCATATGGCTGAGTCGTTAATGGTTCGGGTTGTGGCGTTGAGCCTATATCCGAGTGAGATGTAATCCGCTTCCTGTACTTTGATGGTCAGACGTATGAATGGCTGCGGCTTTGAGGGCCGTTTAATCCACTTTTTGGAGAGGTGATTGTATAAATGGTGGTCGAGAGCGATCAGTTTGCCTTGTCGTTTCGTCGTCGTGACAGCGCAGAGGGCGTTAAATATTGCGCCTTCGTGTTCGGAGGTGGATTTTCTGGTGGCCTTAATCGGTTTGTTCCTGCTTCGGCAGACGGACTCAAAATGGTTTTCATGGTTGCAATGGCTACAAATGTGGCTGAAGGCTGGGCATGTCGATTTTCTGATTCGAGTAGGTGAATGTTTTCCGTGTTCTTTTGGCCGCAGTATGTATACAGGCCTCTGATTTATCCACTTTTTGTGCTCTCTGGGCTTCTTTTCTGTTATAAGTGTATGAACTACTACGTGCAGAAGATGTAGCCTCCGAGTCGAGGAGACGCAAGGCCGAACTTTTTCCAGCCTTCTTGGCTTCAACAAATTGGAATACCTCCTCTAGTATCATGTCCTGGTTGTTGTCTCCAAACAGATCAAGTTGAATATCGTGGTTCTCAATGCCGCGATTGAGCACGTCACGTAAGATTGATTCGGTATAATTCACATCTGCAGTGCAGCCTGGGCACTTCATAATAAACTTGCAGACGCCGGCTTGACCTCGAAGACGGGCGCCGAAAGATCGTACGGTTTCATCTCTGTCCTGTCGCATATTGTGTAATGCAACCCTGGCGACCATGGTGTTTACTTCCCTGACGGCTAGCTTCTTGATGGCGGCGAGTACGTCCAATTCGGGTTTGCCTGATAAGCTATCTCGAGCCGATCGAGTTAGGTCTTTGCGGAGAGTGTCATCACTGCATTCTAATAGTTGGATAAGCTTGTCTTGGCCTGTGATTTTGGTGGCTTCCACATATTCGGCCCAACGTGATTGGAAGTAAGATCATTCTTCACTAGTCCCGGCTGAGGATATACAAGGCCTTTTTACCTTCTCAACCTTGGCGGTAGGGGCACTATTGGTGGGCCCAGCGTGAATGGTGCTGTGGGCTGTGATAAGAGGTGCTGTGATAAGAGGAGTTTGGTAGGCACAGCCCTCTATTGGGAGGTCAACAAACAGGCATAATAGTGAAAGGTAATACTGTACAGTGCAGCGCTCACGTTAGTATGTAGGCTTAGGTGTGCTCGTCGCGTGTACCAGCATAAATAATTATTTGAACTCTTTGTCAAATTTAACTGAACTTTTATTGAACATCAAAACACAAAATATCAAGCAACATGACAATGCTGGAACTCAAGAGGGCGACACTGCCTTATTGGAATATTAAAATAGATTACAGTTCTTCGTACGGAGCTGGTGTCACTTTAGTAGTGTGTGAATATATAATTAGATGATGAATTTGCCTAAGTATTACAGTTTGTCCAGTTATAACTGTGTTGCCTGCATTCCATTATTGTCTAGCCTTTGCGATTACGGTCTCTTCGAAAAACTGAATATCCTTCTATTTTAATTCTGTTGTCAGATACCGAATCATCAATTCATGTTTCGTTAGCAGAGATAAACAGGCATTAGATTTAAATGCTATGTAGCGAAGTTCAGTAGGTTTTGGGATCAGTGATCTCGTGTAATATAGATGCAAAATATGTATTCTTTTCCGTTTGAATCGCTTAAAATCTTCTTCAGCTGCGTTGCAATTAAATGATGGCGGAGATCGCGTTTCTGTGTCATCATTCAGGTGTTCACAGGAGTCAAACGGGAGATGTTTCCAGGAACATTCATCGCATACATATTTTAAATCAATATCATTATTAACAGTGTGGTTATATCCTTTTGGTGACAAAAAAAATCATATTTAATATGGGTCCATCATAATGCGAGAATTTTTTAGTTGATGTAAATAGATAAGTATAACACTTACCGATAGCATTATTTAAATCTTTTGATTTGCATTATCTAAATAGATCGAAGAGGGAGAAATCTTGTGAGTAAATTGTTCATATCTAAGATTAAGATGTAATTTTTAAAACAAAAACAGGTAGAAGGAAACCGCTATAAAAATACCTTTCATAGTTCCCGCCATCCGGGCACGAAATCAGGTGATCACCTAGGAATTCCGGAATTCTAATCACTACAAAAGAAAAACTAAGTTTAAAACATCAATATCACGTTCGATTTCACAAAAATTGAGATACGTAAGTTTAAAATATAATGATCAGCAATTTCTATCCACAGATCCAATTGAAGATGGATATTTTAGGGTTCCATCAAACGTTAGGGTTGAGGTTTTGAACTTCACGTCAACTCTCACAGGCGGGAATTTTGAATTGTCATCGCGAGTAATGCCGGTCTAGATGTTTTCTGCTGCGTTTTGCCAAAATACTTCAAAATCAACAAAAACAGTAACAGAAATG